TTCAGGTATATATATATATATATATGCAAGATCAATTGACCACGAGTCCTTTCCTGCAATGGATTTGTCATACATGCATACAACTAACACGCACAAACACTCTGCACTATGTACAACAAATTTGTACAACAATTATTATGATTGTCATACGCGACACCAGAAATACAATATCCATTTGGCACATTTCACCACACAAACGTTTTAAATGAAAAACAAAAACCACCAGGACGAAACAAAAACGAAACGAAACTTTCGTTTTAAATTTCGAAAACAAAAGAAGCAGTTTTAATGTCACTTGTTGCTGCTACGAAGTCAAAAAAGATTGTGAAGGGAAAACAACCCTCCGTTGTTTGTAGCTGGTATATGACTGATGGACATTTAGTGTGTGTGAAATGTTTTAATAGCAACAATTGGACAATATTGAGTTGGATTGCATTAAGGAATCTGGGCTGTTAAACTAATATACTAATAGCTGCACTAATAGACATTGTCGTTAATGGGCAAAAATTGGGTAAATTGATAAATTCACTTACTGGCGATTGAGCCAAATGTGATGGTCGCACAACGTTTATTATTACAATTACAGCAATCGTCAAACAGGCTTGGGGCTAAAAACATCTCATCAACTCTATCAGCTATTACACGAGCCTACATTTATAAGTACCGTTTATTATACTAACAAACGAAAAATACGGAATTTATGCGTTTTTTAAAACATTACTTAATTATTATGTTAAGGTCATTCTTAAACGAAACGTAAAGTCAAAAGAGTATCATTTGGATCCCTGTAGTAATGATGAATAAAGTCAACTAACATAGTTTGATGCTTTTGCAAGTTAGTTAATTTAACTTGAAAATCAAGCTTTTCAGAAAATACTATTTAACTTGACTTGATTTTGCAATTTTGCTATTTGTCTTGATGTCAAACAATTTCGAACTTTTTAATATTACTTGAAGAAAACAGAGAATACTAAGACAGTCTTAGACTATTATGAAATGATTGAGGAGTTAAATAAACTATGATTTGTAAAACATTCAGAGTAATCTAAGCAAAAATTGAAAAACTGAACATTTACGTAATAATTTAAAAAAAAAATACAATACTGTGTTCTTCAAAAGGCTACGTTAAACACTTGACATAAAAAAACTAAAAAGCCCAAGTAGCATAAATAAATATCAAGTCAAGTCGTGAGTTACCACTCAAGATAGCAAAATTTTCCGAATTTAAACTCATAAGTAGGGGTTCCCAGTTAAATATTTCAAATCGACCTTCGACTAACATTCAATGTCACGACCAAGGAAAAATTAAAAATTATCATTAAGTAAAAGTCAGAATTGCAAACTTATTAATTCTTTCATACGTTCTAAATGCTTTTCCTTTTCTTTAGCCTACCATGGCAACCTAGTTCCATTTGATCAATAATTTGTATATTTATTTATCAATTTAGCTACATATATTCCTGTTAAAAATTGCAGCGTGCTGTAATTGTTGATATTTCACGATATTTATTCCTTTTTTATTACATATTATATTAAAAAAAATGTCGAACGTTTCATCACCAAAAAGATCTGTAACGTTGATGAACACTTATCAGCTAGAACCGAAGAAAAAGTTTAGTTCAGACCAAGTACAAAAAATAATAAGAGTATTCTTAGAAGATGCCATCGATAACTTGACCTACGACCCCGTTAAATGCGCCAAATTATGCCAGACATTATCGGAAATGATTAAGGATAAAGTTAAGGAGCAACAGTATGACAGGTGAGTCAACTTAACAATAATAACGGAAATCGAAAGGTTAACAATTATGTGATAAATTAAAATATCTATACGAACATCAATTTTTCGGTTTATAAAAATATGTTAAGATTTTTAGAAATAACAAAGTTGCAATCTGTAGGTACTGTGAGATTTATCAAATGACAGGGCTTGTTGTAGAGGTCTCAAATATATTCTTTTTATAATCTTAAAATAAATAGTTATATAATTATTTAAGAAAATAGATGAAAATTGATCATTTCCTTCTTATTTCCATAACTACCGAATCTAAAATTTTGAAAAAATACTGAAAATAGTTCTTTACTTACCTACAGATTACAGAAAAATTAATTAAGAATTCTATGGTCTGAACATAACGTGTTAAATCTTTCAACAAAAAAATTTTGTGAATATAAATTGTCATTTGCAGTTACACATAACTACAATGTTAGGTTAAGGTTCTCGGGTTAGGGTTCGAGTGAAAAACGGAAACCTTATAGGATCACTCGTGGATCTATCTGTCCATTTTTATTTAGTTTTGTTTATGACTTCCTTACAAAAGTTATCCTGTAAATACATTATACACCGTATAATATTTAAACAAAATTGTGTTCAATGTGATATTTGTTAGGTACAAAATAGTAGCTGTTGTGACTATAGGAGAGAAAAGATCCCAAGACGTATTGTCTATCCTGGGCTTTTTGTGGGACCCTCAGAGAGATAGCTACGCACTTTATACTGAAGAAAATATGTTTGTATATATAGTGGGCATGTGTTTTGGTATTTACTACGAATAATAATTAAATATAATGTATATATTATAATAATTCTAGTTTCCATTTCTCTATTTTAACAACATCTCAAACTATTTTAAGCGCTATTGTTGTTCACCGACTTTAAAAAAAAAGTTTAACTAATGCACTGGATTATTCTTTTCAATTATATGCACATGTGTACATTGTTGTTTTGTAAAATGTAAAATTTAAAATGATATACAAAATAGATGTAAGTATCATAAGAGTAAACTAAAATTATCTGTTAATTGTTTAATGAAATTTATTGCATTGACAATAAAATATAACACTGTTGGTTGGCTTCAACATTTTTGTATCTTTATCTTATTCTTATTTACTTTAAAGTATGCCGTTTCACAAAAATAGAACAGTAAACAGTTTAAATATTCTCAAAGGAATAAGTTAAGGGTGGTTTAATGGTTTGTATAAATAAATTAACCGCTATCTAGGTATTTCCTGCTTCTGCTTTTAATATGCCCCTAACGTCAAACTAATCCATCATATCTATCAATCAATCTCGCATATTTCCTATTAACTTTCATAGTGCCCTCTGTTCTGGTACTATTTCTAATTCCTCTTCATTTCTAACCTTTTCTATCCACAATATTTTTAGCATCCGCCTTTAACGCCACACCTCAAACGATAAGGGATTCTTTTTTGTTGAAAGCTACCCGATCCTGCGTAATTTTTTATTTTATATTTCTAGCGTCTTTCCCTTCTTTAGTTATTTGACTCCCAGAATTAAACTTAAAATCAAACTAATCGTTAGCAATGTTAGACGCAATATTTAATGGTCTGGCGTCTGTGTATGTAGGTATGTTATGAGAAAGTGCCCTCATCATTTGTAGCAAATCTTGCCTACAAAATTCCCACAAGAAAAAAGGTAATTAAGGGCACAAGCCCTCATACGATTTCAAAGGGCACAAGGGTCTGCCACACGTGACCACCATCGAAAATGATAATCGACAAGTCAAAGGTATTAGTAGCGTATTATGCGATAGAAGAACGAATGCCATATTCTTTTATCAATAAAAATATTTCAGAAGGTGAAGTCAGATCGAATAAACTTATTTCAATAATACTAAAATAGGTAAGATATAGACATTCAATCAGATTCACGGAGAACAATTTGGCAAAAATACCAAAACTACAAGAAAGTTACAAATCCAGTAAAACATATTATTGAGCAGGGTATACAATATGATACAAAAAAAAAAACGAAAGCAAGAAATATAAATATTTATAATAATTAAAATGACTTACCATGATTCAGTAAGCTAATTGTCCCACGAATAGTATAAACCATCTGAAAAAAGGAAATCAATTTTGTTAAAGAAATGTATAGGATTATTATATTACATAAACCAATTTTTTACAGATTATGTACACAATAACTTCAAAACAATATTGATGTATACTAATACTTAACGTAGTATGTTCTAATATCTAGAAGGGAAAATACGCATATGGTTATTTTATTTTTAAAAAATAGTTTTTTATATAAGTTTTCGTTAAATGTATACACCAAGTAGTAAAATTGTTTGAAAATATAGAATTTTCAATTTGGATGTATATCTACAATTAAGACATTGAATGGTGCGAATTTATTGATAAGCATTTTTTAAGTTTCCGGCAATTATCCTTTTGTGAAAAAGAAAGGACATGCACAAAGTACGTAGGGAAAATCCTGATGAAATCAGATGAGTTTAAAAAAGCAGAAATATAATTAAGTAGATCGTAATAAGCAAAAAAGAAATTAACTCTATCGTAACCAAATCACATCATTCGGTCATGGAAAGATCTCAATGTAAGCATCACTGCCTCAGTGATACCAGCACAGCATCAGGGTCCTGAAGGGACGAGCTCTGGTGCGATTTTTTTTGATTGGCCGTTTGTTCCCTCTCGGCAACTATCGCAGCCAGTAGGAAACGAGGGAATCCTTGGTCAGCTTTCTGCCGTTGGTCGATCAATTTACCTTGTTAAATATAAATTGGATAAAATAATAATGTTAGAAGTCAGTAGCCGCAGCACTGTGAACTAAATTGTCACAATTTGCCTTAATCGGCTTAATTTTTATTGGACTAATAGCAATTAGATAAATCGAAACTGTGAATTCAATTAAGCAAACGGGCTGCTCGCTAAATTACAACTACAATCAAAAATATTGTCTGAAAGCTGAAATCCAGTGTTTGTCTCCGATCGATCGATCGATCGATAAAAAACAATGGACAGCGGTCCTTTTGAAGACCCATCGTTCGGTAACTATTCCAATCAACCTCTGCCGTCTTTGAGTTCCACTCTTCTTCAAAACAAACACGGAGACAATCTCAACACTCATTCGATACAAATGATGCTGGGTCTCCAGGAGCAGCAGGACATGTTCGGCGGTATGAACTCGTCTTTGGATTATAAAGGACAAACGTCGAAAATGGACAATTCACCGATGCAACACGATCTCGGACTGTTCCATCATGGTATGGAAAGTGTTAACAACAACGAATCGAATGGTAATAAAAGGAAAAACGACGATATCATAATCCTTCGTTCACAACAGAGTATGCCTAGTTCTGAGATTCCTTCGTCGACTTCTAATACTACCCAGAAAAAGAATGAAAAAAAGAAAGGGGAGACAAACGGGGTGAAGAAGAAAAAGACAAGGTAAGTGAGTCTTTTGTAAGGGGGTATTACAAGGGTGTCTTTGGAGACCTACAAAATGAGCCAGTCAATCTACTATCGCAAATTATAATTGATATTCTTTAACAATTCCGTTAGATATCCAATTCAATTCAATATTTCATAAGGATTTGGACAAATTTCATAATAATTCTGGAACATTCCCAGATAGTAAATCAGGCCCAGTGGTAGATCTCGGACATTCACGGCTGGGTGAATAAGACATTTCGAGGTCCCCTTTCGACAAAAATAAAAAAATAAAAGATAAATAAATTAAAATTTATAAATAACGTCTAAATAATTTTCAATTTGTACAAGAAATGCATAACCGAAATAGTCATAGATCCATGAGTCGGGAGTTCCATGCATTCCTTGCATTTGGTTGAGCCGCGTGAAAGAGCGAAATTTGAAGCGTCAGAATTTGAAAAAATTGGTTAAAAAGGAGCCGAAATTACGAATCATTTCCTTAGATTATGCAAAAATTCATTTTCGTCTAAACACATGTCATCTTACGACACCCTGTCGCGTTTTTACATCATACAAATTAAAATTAGCTTAAACCACTATAAAGAGCGAAATTTTTGATCCCAAATTTGAAAATTGGTTAAAAAATAGCTGAAATGATAAATCATTTACTTCGATTTCGCAAAAACGCATTTTCGTTACAAGACAAATGTGCTTTTTATTTCTGCAATAAGAAATCTAGCCCAAAAGACTCATTCACGAAAAGGGTTCGTATTAATCTTGCTGATGTTATTTATTGGACTACCACATTTACAATAACAATGCCCCCTATCTAATCGCTTATCCCTATGTCAAAACGATGCCAAGTGCTAATTGTTACCGCTTGTAAACCATTTGGTCCTGTGAGGGTGTAGGTGGCAAAAATGCAGGATCGGCGTCATGTGCACTTTAATACAGGAAATAACATTACTCTCCTCGGTCAAAGATAAAAAAGGCAGATGTCAGATGTTGATAGGTATTTTGTTTAGGGCGCGTGCCAGAAATGCGTAACTAATTTGAATTATTCATCAGGAATTTTTGATCGTCTAAATTGCATACAGTTGAGATTAAACAAAAGATGCAAATTGAATGAAATATACGGAATTTGTAAGAGTTTTATTGTACATTTACGACCTTATTTGTTTTTTACAACTTCATTCATTCACATTTATGTAATTCATAACATTATACTTACTAAAGAATTTCATTACACAACATTGTTATCCTTTACCGATAGTACTTATATGTAGACTTTTGTATGCAATACAAAATATAATATAATTTGTTTACCATTACACCTATAGAGTTTAATTGATTTATCCATTACAGAAAGGAAGGTTTTAAAATGTTGTTTGATGACCTTCTGTCTATATTTTCTTTGATAAATTATAGGAACAAACATTTCATTTCATTCACAATTCTCTTCGTCAATAAAATATCGGTTTGCTATTAGATTAACGTGTAAACGTTAATTAATCAATTTTTTCAATGTTTTATTCATAGTATTTAATATCTTTTCAGAACAACATTTACTGCTTTCCAGTTGGAAGAATTAGAAAGAGCGTTCGAACGAGCTCCTTATCCGGACGTGTTTGCACGCGAAGAATTGGCTTTGAAACTAAACCTGAGCGAGTCCAGGGTTCAGGTTTGGTTCCAGAACCGTCGAGCCAAATGGCGAAAACGGGAACCACCTCGAAAAACCGGTTACATTGCATCCAACTCTCCCAACTCCAACATTGCCTCCAATTTTAATAACCCCCTCAATTCATTTACTCAAAATAACCCCTCCTTAGGCACTACAACGTCAGTTGACTCCTGGAGCTACCCCTCGACGTACGAGTTGGGGCCTCACTTAAACTTGATCAACTCCCCATCGGCGCCCTATTCAGGTTTTGGCTCTCCCCAAAACGGGTACTCCTACATGCTAAACACTCACGATGGTCAATTGTTTAGCGCTCCGATGAGAAGTCACGAATATGGGGCCCCGTTGGCCAACCAGAGTCCGCCAATATCCCGGGAATATTCCATGTTGCAAACCCATTCTCCCACAGGAGAGGAAAACTCGATGGGAGCAAAAATCGAGTATGTTGAACACACATTAAGCGGGTCACCCGAGAGGTACTCGAACATGTCACCTAAATACGAATCGGAGCTCATACAGGAGGTCAAACCCAACACGAACTACGACTCGAGAGTTAAGGAGATTAAGACGGAAAACGGAAATAGCTACGTAACGCTACCCCCTTTTTTGAATTAGTTATGTCCTTGAAACGAAGGGGCAAATGATTAAGGAAAATTTCAAATCCTTGTTAATGCATACAAATTCAAAAACATATGCCAAAGAATATTTTTAATAGTTAGTTACGTAATAGTGGGAGACTACGTTAGTGGCCCATAAATTCGAAGTGGGCCATTATGAGATTATTACAGAAATAGATTGGGGTTTCACAACATTTTTATTTCGCAATCTACAGTAGACAAGGGACTTCTCAATCATTAAAATTGGTTAAAAGTTAGCTACAATAACCAAATCAATATTGACCAACTTTAACGCCTCCTGATGGAGGGACACCCGATTAATTAATTTTTGCAATAATCTTAGATGGTACATCCCTTGCACTAGAGCAGGGCTTCTTAAACTTTTTTCATTCACAACCCCATTTATGATTGCGAGTTTCCTGGCGACCCCTTATAAATATAAAAGAAAGATAAATAAAATTAAAAAAAACAAATACACATCCAGNAGCTTTGTAACGTTTTTGGGATAAGTTATTAGAAAATTAAACAATATCTCTAAATATTCAATAGATATATAGCCCTTATTGTGCTTTCTTTTGTTGTTTACGCGCCTGTAAATATACAGGGTGTTCAGGTACCTTGTTTCTTAAAAACAAAAACTTAGTTTGGACTCAATTAAAAATGGTAAGTATTTAATTACGGTCTTGTACTCACAAAATATGTAATTGTTTTGAAGTTCAATGGATTTGGAACATTAATTTTGATAGTTAAAATGGATCTACTTCTCAATTATTTTTTATTTACAAAAAAAACTGTCCTACGTTTCTTGTGGGAGACGAAGACTTAGTTTTTAAAGAAATTACATAATTATTATATAACAGTAATAGAAAAATACCATTTTTTTTATAGAGATGACATGATAATTCGTCCGTATTGTTAGACTATAACATGCATATAGAGAAAAAAAAAAAGAAGTATGAACAACACACAAATATACATTTGTGTTTGTACAATGCATGTCCCGCATAACTTGTTTTATTTCTAGCGAAAATGACGCCGTCGTTTTTGTCTCATTCTGTGACCCCGCGACGCTTTGACCAATTGAGCCTGTTAAGCCAATTGAGAGTAACGAGGTTTTAATTGAAGAAAATTACGGATAGAGCGGAGGTCCCACATAGTTCGACTGACAACAAGTGAAAAAAAAAAGGAAAAATATCATCACACACACACGGACATAAACCAACAAACACAGATGTAATATAAGTAGCATTTCCGCCCTTCAATGAAGTTTACCGATATTTTTATAAGCCAACAAAGAACAGGGGAAAATTTTTGTAAATTATGAGGCCAAAGTCTTTGCTACTATTATTTTTTATTAATGTTTAATTTCAATCCAAAATTTATTACCAATAATACAACTGTAAAGCTTTTACAAGAACTCGTTATATTCCTATGTTGAAATATAACGAG